TGCTGGTGAGAGAGCCGATCCTGTTGCTTATCACGTTGTATATGGGGTTTATTTATGGGTTTTTGTATCTGTGTTTTGAGGCGTATCCGGTGGCGTTTCAGGAGTTGAGGGGGTGGAATGAAGGGGTTGGGGCACTGCCGTTTATTTCCATTGCTGTGGGGGTCGTGTTTGGGTGTTGTGTTATTGTGTTTTTCACCAAGACGAGGTTTCAGAGGGTGTTGGAACGGGAGGGCCATGTTGTTCCGGAGGAGAGGTTGATTCCTATGATGATTGGGGGGGTGTTGTTGCCTGCCGGCATGTTTTGGTTTGGTTGGACGAGTAATCCCGGGATTATTTGGGTGCCGCAGGTCATTGCTGGGGGGTTTTTGGGGGCGGGGATACTGTTGATCTTTATGCAGGTATGTTTCTTCCCTCTTTCTTTGGGTGTGATATGTGTGGTGTGATGCTGATGATGGTATAGGGGCTGAATTATATCATTGATTGCTATAATATCAATGCCAACTCGGCTATTGCGGCGAACTGCTTCTTTCGGTCGGGATTGGGGGCAGGGTTTCCCATGTTTGCTATTCCGATGGTGAGTTTTTCCCTCTCGCATACAGCTATGCTAGCTGCTTCGGTGAACGAGACATGTTGATGGATGATGCAGTTCCATAATCTGGGCGTGCCGTGGGCCATGACCTTGCTGGGATGTTTGACGGCCATATTGTTCCCCGTGCCGATTCTGTTCTATATCTATGGAAGTAGGATTCGGTCCTGGAGTAAGTTTGCGCCGACTGATTAGGACTCACGCTGTGGTGAGAGGAAAGCGAGGTTATGATTACCATGATATAGTGTATATGTAATAGGTAGCCAGATAGGTAACATTCACTTCGATCTTTATAGAGAAATGCTGCAAATTATCCAAAAGATACTTTACACATCAAATAAAAACACATATAACAAACAGTCCATTCGAACATGACCCAATTTGGTCGATCCTCATAGTGACAGCAGAGACATCCTCAGTTTGAGTCCACATCTAACACTTAACACTAACAGACGCGAATGGAATACCAATGCATCCCTGCACATCTCCCGCAAAGTTCGCCGAACTTCCCTGACAGTTATCACCAGACCAGGTGGTGATCTTGCACTTGCTGTCGGCGGTACCGACGTTGAAAGACGCCCCAGGAAGGCTAACGAAGCAGGATTCTCCAGATCCTATGATGGCAGGGTTGGCGGAGGAACCTTCGCAGTTGTTGCCGGACCAGGTGGTGATTGTGATACTTTCGCTGCGGGTTGAGAGGGGAGTGGATTCGGCGGTGGTGGTGAGGGCCAGGACGCCCATAGCGGCGAGAGGGAGGAAGTGGTGGAGTTGCATTTTGCTTTTTTGGTAGACGTTTCTTTTTAGAAAAAGATGTGAGGACAGATATGTGGTATATTTGTAGGAGGCAATGGAATATGTAGATGATTGAGAGAGAGAGATTGAGCTGGATTGTTGTCGAGATGAAGAGTGAAGAAGACCGACTTTATACCTTCTTCTTCGACATTCCGCCCCATTCAGATACTTCTCTTTTTCCTACACTCAGGGCAGTGCAAGGCCGAACATACTTGTCTATCCCAGGCGCAGTCATCGTGAACCCATTATGGTGGCTCATTTCACGCTTCAGTTGGATTCTTGGCCCTTCGAGGTGTAGATCTATGATCATTTCTGTATTCAGTATGCTGATCTGTGAGAAGTGGAGTTTTGGCCCCAGTAGGGTACCTGAGGGGAAAAGATATTCGGGCCCTTGCAGATCGGATGGAAGGCCTTAAGCTTTGGCCCCATGGAGCCTACTGGCCGTTTACTGTGTAGGAGGCTGTTATATTCAGAATAAATTCAGGGTAGAATGGGAGTTTAATATGCTCGCTATTCTTTTGTGCTTCTCAACTCCACACAATGTTGCTTGTTACGCTGACATGCTGGCTCAGTGCGCATTAGTCTATAGAGAAAGTGACAAGGAGAGGTTTTGTTCAATTATTAGGTGGTACTGTCTCAGAATGCACGTTGTATCCGTATACCATAACAAAATAAAACCGCTTGATCATCAATAATCATGATCAGGGTGTAAGTTAAATAAACTAAGCATAACACAAAAAGTACAATTGTTAGAAGGGGCTATACATAAGGACGGCGCTAGTCAAAATTGGGCATGTGAGTTGCGACGGGTTCAGAAATTAGCGTGACAGAGTCAAACTGGGGCTGGATAAACAGCTCAGACGGGTTCAGAGAAACCTTGACCCTGAATGAGCTTATGCACATGATTTAATATTATTTCTTGTTGAGGCAACTGCAGGAGTCGGCATAGTCACATGCCTGGTACTCAGGCTGTCTATAAATAATCTCTTATTTTATTTTACTAGAGTACCTAGATAATTACTAATTCAACTCATTCTTTTACTATAATTCGCGTTTACATTCGTTCGCTTGCTTTTTTGTTGTTTTATTGCTTTGCTAGTAATCACACGCCTCAACAATAGATGTTTTAAATATGGGAATTGGTGTTCAAAAACCTTCATTTTGTATAGAAAGCAGAATGTCGATACGCTTGCCGCTTACGTTCAGCTGCTGAGTAAGAGCAGCCAAAAGTGGGGTAGGATTCAATCAGTCAGTCAGTCCGTACAATCAACCGATCAGATCCTCGATGTGGTTAAAACGTTGTATTTGTTCTTATGGATATCGTTGCGTCTCTCTATCCCGCTCTCTCAGAGCGCAAACCCCTTCCCATCTATTACACGCCTGGCTGTCTCGGTCTCTCCCTGGTACCTTTTCTAGTAGAAAACAAAGGCTTCTCAGCCTTCTCCACTTGGCCCTTCTTGCTTTACTTATGCGCCAGCTGGCCGTGCTTCACTACTGGTGATCCCTCTTCGGATTACTACAATAACAGCCATTTCATTGCCTTTCCGCTGTGGTACCTTGACTTTGTTTTCCTGACGCCAAGAGACGGCAAGGACGCGCCTGCGTTCATTGGCCGCCAACTTACAGATGAAGAGCGTGGGGATGAGGGGGGCGTTATTACTGCCCAGGGCCAGTGCTGGAAGGATTTAACGACGTTCTCACAGTGTGTGAAGTGGTCATTCAGGCTGATGCTGCCCGTGCATAGGGGAATTGGATGGAATTGGCAGGTGAAAGGTGTTCCTGCGGATCCGCATGCAAAGCTGCCAAGGTGGCAGTACGTGGGCTGGCAAATGTGGTGGGTAGTGTTCTACTACGTGCAATCTATGGGGACGTTAGCCGGACTGGGTCTAGGATGTGCCTTAAAAGCGCAAACTAGATCAGATGAGCTACTCAAGACAGTTGTCGTCAATGCTATCGTGGGATGGTCGGGTGCGGTGTGGATATGGGATAGGCTGAATTGCGCATATCGACTCGCGGCTGCCCTGGGTGTTGCGACAGGAGCGACGGAAACTTGGGAATGGCCGCCTCTCATGGGGCCATTGAAAGACGCATGGAGCGTGAGGCAGATGTGGAGGTATGTGCCACAGCCTACATAATGAGGCCATTAAAATGCTTACTTACACATATGCAGTGCAACATATCACCAGGTATGCCGCAGGGTGAGTAGGATCCCAAGACAACTGCATTCCAAGAGATGCTCGTGCTAACAGAACATGTAGCTGCTATCGCAACCATCAAAACGTCTTGTTCGTTTCCTACGTCTCCGCAAGGGTGGTCTAGCGTCTAGCTACAGCCAATTGTTCATCTCGTTTGGGATAAGCTGCCTTTTCCACCAGGCCCAGATGTTCAATGTCACTCGCCGCGACATGGGCGAGCTGGCCTTCTTCATGTCGCAGCCTTTGGCCATCGTAGTGGAGGACTTGGTGCGCTGGACATGGAAGAAAACTGGCATCTCTGGAAAGAGCACATATTTTGAGAAGGTGGTCGGGTATAGCTGGACCTTTGTCTGGTTCTCGATGAGCTTACACTTATACATAAGTGGACTTGTGCAGGCGCGCGTTATGAAAGACTGGCTGTTTGGATACACACCTTTAGAGATTGGTGCTGATGCTAGACAGCAGCTACTTATGTGGTTACGTGTATAAGCTGAGTGGTATGGGCGCTAGGGCATGCTGTGAGAGGCTTCTACCCATTTCTCATTTTAAAGGCCCCCGAAACAATAGAGAGAGCAGCTGATTTGGGTTCAGAAAGTGTCAGAAGAGGTTATTCAGTGTCAGAACTAACATAGTCTGATACTAAACCATCTTTTCACATGATTAAGATCATCCAGTATCAAAAATTTCCTGATACTCTCGCACTAATTTGAAGCCGCCGCGAGTTGGACCCCCGCGAGTGAGACCCCTTCAGAGACGTCCCCGATACAGACTCTAAGATACAGAATGAGCTTGGTATATGATTATCCTCGATACTACTTCAGCTCTGTGATCTTTATGTCATAATGAATTACAAAATAAATAAGATAACAAATCAAATTCCAGTAGCCTGATATTATGATAGTCACAACACTTTAAAATATTTCAGTTATTATACGATTGAAATGTGAGTTTACAACCAAAAAACTGATTTGTGTTCATGTCAGTCTATACCGAAGCAATTAAATCACGTGGACGAGCTCATTCAGTATCATATTCTCTCTGAACCAGCCGCACCAAATCCTGAACCCGCCGCAGCTTGGACCCCTCAAGCTACCCTCTCCTGCATACACTGCTTGGTAAGCAACAACAGTATGCCCTGGAAGTACCCAGTAGATTAATTTACGTTAAAGAATGCAACAACTACAACACAGAAAATAAGCACTAACACAGAAAATATCATCTCATCAACCAATTACCCTCATAGACATGACGCCATCTGACAAATGTCTGATTTATCAGCAATACCTGCTAACTACCCTATATTCCCTTCATGTATAGCTTCAACAACACTACAACAAATACAATCACATAAATAATCCCCTCATCCCCACCCAGTCTGACTCCGACCACATCCACATCGACGTCCACACTCAACCTCTGCCTTCAACAAAAAAAAAAAAAAGAAGAAAAAGAAAACAATGCCCCTAACCTACCTCCTAACCGGCAGCACGGGCGGCCTCGGCTCCCTCGTCCTGGACTACTTCACCAGCCACTTCCCCCCGACACAAGAAACCACACATGGCGTATCATACGCCGCATCCTCCTCTAACCCATCCAACAGTGATCGCTTCACATCGAAAGGCATTCCCTTCCGCACCGTCAACTACGATGACCCCTCGACGCTCGACATCGCTTTCAAAGACGTAGAGAACCTTTTCTTCGTGAGCACAAATACCTTTGACGTCGAGAAGCGCCGAAGACAGCATTTGAATGTTGTGGAGGCGGCGAAGAGGAATGGTGTGAAACATGTACGTTCCCTAAACCTTATTTCCAGCCAAGATGGATGGAGTAATAATGGTGTGATAGGTATGGTATACATCCCTCGCGTTTGGAGGCCTCGGGTCCGATTCCAAGGCTGCGGTGCAGCAGGCGCATTATATGACGGAGGATATGCTGAAAGAGTATGTCACCCCCTCCCTTATTATGATTGTTTTCAGTGGTATTGATGGTTGATAGATCTGGGGTAAACTACACCTCCATCCGCGAAGGAATCTACACTGAAGCCTTCCCGCTCTTCATTAACTGGTATCCCCAATCAAAGACGCTCTATCTGCCCTCTTCGTCGGGGAAGATCGCGTTCACGCTCCGGTCGGAGTTGGCAGAAGCAACAGCCAAGTTGATGTTGAAGGGCGGTCATGATAGAGAGATCGTGCTTTTGACTGCGTCGGAGCCGGTTTCTGTGCAGGACATAGTGGATGTTATTAATGAGACGACTGACCGGGAAGTGAAGATCGAGATCGTCGATCCGGAGACGTATGTACGGATCAACGCGGAGAATGATATCGGGGGCAAGGCGGAGGGGTTCTTCCGGCAGTTGGTGGGGTGGTTTGAGAGTATTGAGAATGGTGAGGCTGGGTTTACGGATGGGTTGATGGGGGAGGTGTTGGGGAGGGAGCCGGTGACGCCGAGGGAGGCGGTTAGGGGGTTGTTGGAAGGGGAGAGAGATTATACGTGGCATCAGAATTATAGCAAGTAGTCGGTCAGTCTTTTGTATTCTTGTTGTATATAATGAGGTGGTTAAGTTGGCTATGAATGCTTTTATGCTTTTGTTATATGTGGTGATATCATTTCATCACACGCGGTTGTCTTCCTCTCGATCGTGCTGCGGGTACCCTGTGTGCGTGTCGCGATACACTGTCGCTTCTCCGTCGCCCTCTTTCTCTATGACATCTTCCTCGTCTGCTCCCCAGGTCGCTTCGCGCATGAATGGACTGCGTCGGCGGATCTCGGGTCCCTTCCATACTAGTACTACTGGCACTACTGACAGTGCCAGTCCAATGAAACCTAGTAATGACCCGGCCCAGCCGTACCCCAGGTTCTCGAATAGCTCGTAACTCGCCAGTGGCAGGAATGCGCCAAAGGAGTTTCGTCCCAGAGATGCTGCGGACAGAGCTGATGCAGCGTACTTTTCGTACGCATCTGTCAAGTAATTGACCACCGCCATGTAAATACTGTAGATGCCAATACCGGTGCACCCGATGCCGAGAGTTGGTACGATCCAAGGCACAGAAGGAGTGCTGGACCAGCCATACCAGAACAGCCCGCCTGCAAACATCAAGCTGCCAATGAGACTAGTATACAACCGAGCTTCCGGAATAGGTTTTCCCGGCTTCTCTTTGTTGCGTCTCGCCGACTTCAGATACAGGATGTCCTGTAGAGGATTGACGAGAGTGCCGATCAACGCACCCACGGAGATCGCCAGCTGAATGGTCCCAGTTTGCAAAGTATTCATGCCGTAGTTGGCGGAGAAGGTCTGGACGACGCTGCTGAAGAAGAGATACAGGATGCCCCAGGCGAAAGAAATCCAGAGAGTGAAGAAGGCAACGACAGGCTCGGTGAGGAGCATGCGTGTAGGTCGTTCGAAGGAGATCTGCATCAGACGCCATACGCTGGTGTTGTCTAGCTCGGCTTCAGCGTAGATGGGGCGCTGCTTTTCTTTGCGGAGCTTCTTGGCCCGACGGGCAAGGATCACGTCTGCGCGGGTTTCGTACAGAATGAACCAGAAGATAGGAAGGAGGCCTGTTAGGTAAATGATTTGAATGTAGAAGATCCAGCGCCACGGGGCAGATTTGTGGATGGCTACGATGGCGGATCCGATGAATGGCCCCAGGGCAATACCAACCACACTGGTAAATCCGAAGAGGGACATGGGGAGACTCCGCGCCTTGTCTCCGTACCAGACATCGCTGATGCTACCGCCGACGATGTTGATGGATACGGAGGAAGCACCACCGCCGAAAAACCGCGTTACTACGAGAGTGGCGTAGTTTTGGGCGAAGGCGGAGGGGAACAGCGAGATGATGAGGATGATGTAGGCGACAAAATAGCCGGGCATGCGACCGGAGGATTCAGTCAGGGGCACGAATATGAGAGGCCAGAAGGCCGCTCCCATGTTCCAGGATGTTGTGGCCCAGTAAAGGTTTGGAAATGGCGTGTTTTGGACGTGGAATCGTTCTTCCATCCAGTTGTTGCCGGAGCCGTATGAACCGGCCGGGATACCAGTGAGGATGGAGCTATACCTATTAGCATTGCACCTTTGAAAGCAAGGCTAAGGGGGACATACATGAAACACACAGTAACCGTGAGAAGCCATTTGTAGGAAGTGCTCCAATTGAACCTAGTTCTGTTAGACTAGTGTCCTAACAACTGCATACTTGACGCACGGATTTTCCGGATCATCCTTGCCATTCCAGGTATGGATCTCAAGGTCCTCCCTGTCACGCAGATCGTTGTGGCTAACTACCCCGACATGGGGGTCCCGGCGAAAGAACGATCGTACCCTGCAACGTCAGACTTAGTGGCTGTATGAACAGGGTCTGCTTGGCAATGATTGGCAGACTAACCGTCCCAGAAACGAATCATCGAATTCATTGGTGTGCACCGTGCTAGCGCGGCGCAACGACGGGCGTGGCTCCTCGACAGGGGTGGACATGACTATCTCTAAATTGATTCCTTGCAAGGTATCTGCTTGACAGATGCAGAGATGAAGTTGAGTAAAATAGGGTGCAGAGACCCTGCAGAACCTGCATCGGCCGGCGGCAACATGTCGTCATGACCGACCCGGCCCGAGCAACGTCCATGAAACTCGGAACAACCAGGGGAATCCGACGCTTTGAGTGGTCAATCCATGTCTATCCACATCTGCGTTGGAGTAGATGAAAGGTGGAGGAGAGCTGATTGCCAAATTCTGTTAGGGCTTGGAATGAAGCAACCGGTTTCGGTCATGACATCATCACAGCGATGACTTCATCACTTCCGAACGAGCATATAAAGTTGTGCCTGTCGTCGTATCTCGACAACATCAACAACAACAACAATCATCTACTGCATTTATCAAAGTCATTTCTACCTCAATCAACATGCCTATCCCCGTTCCCTCCGCCTCCAGCGTCCACGACCTCTTCAGCCTGAAGGGCAAGGTCGTCGTTATTACCGGCGCTTCCGGCCCTCGCGGCATGGGCATTGAAGCCGCCCGTGGCTGCGCCGAGATGGGCGCCAACATCGCCCTCACCTACTCTTCTCGTCCTCAGGGTGGTGAGAAGAACGCCGAAGAACTTCGCAACACCTACGGCGTCAAGGCCAAGGCCTACCAGTGCAACGTCGGCGACTGGAACAGCGTCAAGAAGCTCGTGGACGACGTGCTGGCCGAGTTTGGCCAGATTGACGCCTTCATTGCCAATGCTGGCAAGACAGCCAGCAGCGGTATCCTCGATGGCTCCGTTGAGGACTGGGAAGAAGTCATTCAGACCGATCTGACGGGTACCTTCCACTGCGCCAAGGCGGTGGGTCCGCACTTCAAGCAGCGCGGAACCGGCAGCTTCATCATCACCTCCAGCATGTCGGGTCACATTGCGAACTTTCCTCAGGAGCAGACTTCGTACAACGTGGCCAAGGCAGGCTGCATCCACATGGCCCGGTCATTGGCCAACGAGTGGAGGGACTTTGCCCGCGTGAACAGCATCTCCCCGGGTTACATCGACACGGGATTGTCAGACTTTGTGGAGAAGAAGACTCAGGATCTGTGGATGTCCATGATCCCCATGGGACGGAACGGTGATGCCAAGGAGCTGAAGGGTGCATATGTCTATCTCGCCAGTGATGCCAGCACATACACGACGGGTGCCGATTTGATCATTGACGGAGGATACACCGTGCGGTAAATTGACCGCGGTCGGGGAGAAAAGTAATGTTTATGACATGTATGTAATGAATATGAATGTTCAATTGTATCAATTGCTTGGGTATTTTGTGTATCTTTCGTATGGCTCGAAACGACCTGCCATGGCCGGCCAGGGTGGTGTAGCTCTCAGTCTTATGGATGCAACTGCGTCAGTGTGGATCTTTAGCTCGGGCTGAGGGGCTGTGGGGTTACTAGAACAAGCAGCCACTCGTCTCTGAGTCTGCGGATCTCCACGGAACGCCATTTTCCTGAAGATTCAGTCTGGGCCTGGTCTCAGACTGATCTGGTGAGGGGATTCTGCATCCGTTCGAACCTTATGATTGTGAGACGAGCTCCGTAAGCCTCGAGCTTTACGCTGTGGCTGGTTCTTTGTTCTCCCCGGAGCATCCCAAGTATGTTCATTTCCATCTCACGTTGCCATTTGCACAGCCAAGATAGACGGATCGGGAGGAGACATGGAAGGGAATGGTGAAGGTGACATGGAACTGAAATTGAAGTTGGCGAAGTCGAGATCCAAACCCGTCAAACAGAAACAAATTGAGCACCACATCCGGTCAGGTGACCGACCTATCTACAGTGAACAATAGCTGGAAAGAAGCAAGGGATGCGTACAAAACATGTCCAATTTAACTAATTTCAAAAGCTATATGATCCTCAATCAAGCATGTCATAATCATCAGTCATTACCGTCAACTCTTGCCCACCTTCGCATCGGCCACCTCCTCCGGATCATCCACCACCTCTGCCAGATGCATCCGCGGCAACGTCCTTGCCAGTCGCGGTGGGTCAAACACGCTCTTCGACTGCAGGAAGATTTCGTCAATCTCCTCCAGCGACCGACCATTGGTCTCCGGGAAGAAGAAGTACACGGTCGGCACGATCACTGCGTTCAACACCGCGAAGATGATGTAGTATTGGTATCCGATCGTATCGAAGCCCACCGGGGTTACTTCAGCTAGGAGGAAGTTGAAGGTCCACACGGCAGCTGTTGAAACTGCACTGATGGCCGCTCGCAGCTGCAGTGGTGCGACCTCCGTAGCGTACAGGAAAGTCAACCCCGAGTATCCCACGGTGAAGATGAACTCGAACACGAAGAGGAACACCACCGCTACGACCAGCGCTGCGGTATCATCAGATCGAGACGTTGTTCCGGCTAAGATAGCCATCGAGGCGGACATGCCCACGGCACTCCATAGCATCAGAACTCGCCGACCGAGCCGATCAATTGTGAAGAAAGCGAGAAATCCACCCAGTGGCTGAGTGAGGCACATGGCGGCAGCCAGAATGCGTGATGGTATGGCATCCAGGCCTAGATATTGTTGGAAAATGGTCGTGGCGTAAAATGTGATGAGATTGATTCCGCACATCTGCTGGAACATCTGGCCTGCCGCAGCCAGCACCGTCCGATGGAAGAGTCGCTGTTCGCCCATGCTCAGCATGTCCTTCCACGATCCAGATCCCGAGAGTGCCAGCGACCGTTCAATGTCGCGCATAGCCAGGGTGATGCTTTCGTCGTTGGGGTCGACATCTGCCAGCGCGGCCAGGATTTCACGGGCCTCCTCGGTCCGATTCCGCTTTACCAGCCACCGGGGTGACTCTGGGAAGAATATGATGAAGGCCATCACCATCAGCGACAGAACGATCTGGAAGGCGAGCGGGAACCGCCACGACACGGAGTTACCCGTGACGAAGTAGAATCCGAAGTCAATCCACAGCGATATTGTAATGCCCGCCCCAATGAAGATACCGTCTGTCACTACATGGGCGCCTCGCTTGCCCGCCTGTGAGATCTCGGCCTGCCACACGGGCACGGTTGCAACATAACCGCCCGTTCCCAATCCAAGCACAACACGTGCCACGATGAATTGAGCCAGTCCGAAAGAAGTGGCCATCAGCAGGGCCCCGATTATCGATATGGCGGAGGTGATAAAGATCACCTTTTTCCGGCCGAGGAGATCGCCGAGGTAGATGCATGATAGTGATCCGAATATGCCGCCGACAGTATACAGAGCGACCACCGTACCTGTGGAATGTTAGAATGGGAAGCATTTATGAGCAGCGAGCAGAGTGCCTACCCTGAATGGTGGAGTTGTAGTGCTGCTGGGCCCCAGTGGTGGTCAAAGTGTTCATCTGGGGAAACGTCTCCGCAAACGACTCCAGCGTGAGGAGACCCCCCGTCACTCCCTGGTTGTATCCATAGCACACAAAGGCCGGGCAGACGACCAGCCAGATGATGGCGCGATTCAAAAGAGCGCCGCGTAGGCCGAAGTATGGTTGCATGGCTAAGACATGCAGTAGAAGATTCTATGCAACGATCGCGACATCAGCCAGGATGTCCCCGCATGTAATGATCAATTAGACTTGGCTCACGCCGTTGAACCCTGGTCTCCGGTGCGGACATTTTATAAAAAGGCGTCCAAGCATTTGCATATGGGTCGGCCATCGGCGGCGCCCGTCTGTCGCGTGGACTTGGGCATTTCGGACTAGAATAGGACTCCTGTAACCGAAGCAGTGCCAAAGTCAAAGGATCGCAAGAGAACAGGCATCGATCGCCAAGCTGGCAGGCGTGTGTCTTCCCCGCTGGACAATTTGAGATCGTCGTTGGACTTTTCTCCACCTGCCGGCTGCCCTTCCATCGGATCCGGCCGATGGGGTTGTTGGACCTCGGGTCAACAGCCAGTCGGGAGTCACTGGGCCGCCAAGACACCCCCAGAAGCCTCATTGAATTTGGTAATGGCCAGCGTGGGAGATAAATAGATAAAGAGACGCTGGTGGTGCCCCATAATTTAGATAACAATGCTTTTGATGTTGCTGTTGTCCGATATCGCAAGAGAGAGCTGGGGGTGAAGCAGCTAGGAGCATCCCGATCGTGTCTAATTAGGCGATGTAAGCAGAACGCAACTCATATCTCAATCAGTAATGGTGCAGCATGTTTGTCAATCATCCCAAATCCGTGACAGCGAAGCTTAGGCAATTGCAGCCCACGTCTGGCTTGGCCAACGCAATCTGCATTGAGATCTGCGAACGGCACGGATACGATGCCCTGTTCAAACAAGTTAGCTGCTTTTCGACCACTGAGCGTCTGTACGGATGACTGACTGAACCTTCTTTCCCCGACCTCGGCTATTTTGAGAATATCGCCAGGTTCCGACTAGCGTGCATGCCAATCGCCAGGTCTTTTTGAGATGTCTGTCTGACATAGGAGGCCAGGATGGGGGTGCCTCAAAATATAAGATATCAGGGGCTGGCTTTATCTCCAGCTTTATATGGCCATTCCGTATCAGTTTGGAGATATAGCTCAGGGCTGTTATTGGTGCTCTGATAACAATTCCGCCTAACGGGATAAGGAATCCTCCGTCCTGTGCAAAGGGCGATACGGGATCGTCAACGGACGGCATGTGTGATAGACATCGCGGAGAAAGTCAATCCCACGCGATTGGTCATAGTTTCGTTACAACTAGGTGTGTCTGGTTGAAATATCTCATGTAGCACATGAGGGGTTATAAATCTTTGGGTCAAGTGACCAAAGGTGAGTCGCCGTCAGCTTAAGTGTATTGTGCTGGCAGGTTTGATGCCAAGAGTGCGTTCCTGGACCAAAGGAAGTGGGGTAAACGGGGAAGGAAGATAGAGTATAGAGGAAAATATAAATGGCGTAAGTCCCATTTATAGTAGTTGGTCATGGGATTGCACGCGACCGATGGCATTGCGTCGCGGTCATTGCTTTGCAGCAGTTCATGTGCCAGGAGGCTCAATATCAGTGACCACCCCCTGATATGGTAGTCATCTGCCGACAGTGAGGTATTGACGGCGGTAATCCTATTATAGCATTAGCGGCCTGCAGGTTTAGAAGAATCCCTAGGCACTGGCTTGGGTTTGAGGCTGATTTTCTCTCCGTGGAAATTTGTTTAGACAAATTGTTAGTTACATCCTGACTCACTTGTCAGTGGCTCAGGAGCACATCATTTATAATATTGTGGTGTGAGTACTGATGGCATAGAAGACGGAAATTTATCTTATCAACCACCTGATAGGAGAAGTGGATATTAGGAAAAGCCCACTTACTTTTGACAATGAGCTCTTAATACAATATGAGTATTATCAAAACTAGTAGTTTGCAAAGGTGCGAAGGGAGAATACTGATGCAGCTGCTATAGATGACTGGGTTGTTGTAGTATAATGCCGAGACTCAAGCCATGAGCAACTCTCGAAACCTGTGGGGGGAACGTTTTGGCACATTGATGTTGCGTTAAGATATATTACAAAGGTACGATGCGACATACATCAACTGGGTCCCATAGCTCAGTTGGTTAGAGCGTGACGCTAATAACGTCAAAGTCGAGGGTTCGAGCCCCTCTGGGACCATCTTTTTGCTTTTTGGTTTTCCCTCCTGTGTGCCCCGAACATCTATCTCTCCACCGGCATGCTTGGCACATGAGTGGGGTACATGCAATAACACTTTTTGTTATGATGTCATTCCTTTGTTGTGTTTCTGTCCCCCAAACCCCTCCCTCCTCAAGTCAACACGATGGGAGCCCGCTACTGAATTATCCAAACTGTTTCACCTACAATAAATCGTCGACTGTTATCAAAAGAAAAATCTTAAATGATTTATATAGCGCTAACAAGCATAATGTCCATTCTCACTCTTGCAACTCAACAAAACAAGCCTTTCAACGAACACTTAAAGTAGATATCACCAATACCTTCTCCCTCCTTCACCCCCGACTAACATGAGCACAATTAAACCCATATCATACACACACCAACCTCCTTAACCCCAAAGAATGCAGTAGCCCCTACTACTTAATATCAATCACCTTCCTCTCCTCCTCCACCTCCCCCCCAACCTTCGGCACCTGAATCGACAATACCCCATCCGTCAACTTCGCATCCACATGCTCCCGATCCACCTTGGCCGGGAAACTGAATGAGCGACGGAACTCTCCCATCGTGCGCTCCGAGAACCACCAGTTCCCATCCTCACCCTCGGAACTGCGTACAGTGCGACCCCTGACGTTCATCGTGCTGGGGTCGGTGAACTCGATCGTGACGTCTTCTTTCTTGACGCCAGGCAGGTCGCCATCTAGGATATATGCATCTTTGGTTTCGCGGAGGTCAAAGCGCGGGGAGTTTGCAAATAGAGAATCTGTAGCGGTGGATGTCGTGAGGTAGTTGTCTAGGTCTGTGAAGGCGCGCAGGAGGGAGGGGACGGGACGGGGGTGGTGTGGCAGGAGGGACATTGCTCTTGGTGTTGTTGTTTGTAGATTTCGTAGATGGTGGATTGGGTATCTGGTGATGGTTGGGGCTGTTCTGAGGATGTGGGCGGTTTGTTTGAGCATCGTTGGTGTCTTTGCTGCGATGGTTATTGCTGCTTGGCGATGGTCTGTCTTATTTGTACATTATTGTATGCGGTGGAACGTGCAAACTGGAATGGCGTGGTCGGGGGAGATGCTGTCATTTGTACGCGGGTGGCTCGCGCGGGGTCATTTCGGATAGAAACTCCTAGAGAGAGCATGCGCCTTCCTTTGCTTTCTGACATGCATCAAGAGATGGGTCTTGAATATGGGTCCCAAACTAAGTGGAAATCCGGGGATGCGTGGGGTTGGAAGTCAAGGTGGTCTTGGGGGGTGCGGTTCCATGGATGAGGTTCCACGCCTGGAAATGTATGCCGGGTGGCATGATGGTAGTAGGCTTGTGACTGTCGTATCCAGAAGATTCTGATGCGAGACAGTGAACAAGTGGATATTTCTAAGAGTCATAGGACGTACGTGGAGTGGATATTACTTAGGAAAGATTGGAGGTACAGCGCCGAATACAACGTCAAATCAACCAATCCTCATCGCCGCCTCCGCCAAACTCACACTGCCCAATTCCTGATTTCGGATTACACTGACCAAATAGTTCACCCCATAGTCTGACGCCGCATGCACTACCACATTTTCACCAAATCCACAATCCCGTTCCCCCTCTCCGGCCTCCACATACGCCGCATAACTGCCCTTCAGAATGCCATCTTTCTCCGACAACAAGACTCCCTTCGCGTACTCCCTTGCTTGCATGTAATCCGTAAATGTGCCCTGCACTATTACCTCCCGCACTGTGCTTTCCCCCTCGATGGCATCATATTCTACATTCGCCTGCACGACGTAAAATAGCGGGATAGAGATACGGCCATCGTCGAGATCGGTGGTCAGCTGAAGCTTGTTCTGTGTGGTATCGATGCGGACGCGGAAGGTGGTGCCGTCTGGCGCAACGGCGTAAATGGCGAGTCCTGTGCGATCGGGCAGGTTCTCTTGTTCGAAAATGTGGGCGCTGGTTTCATAGGTTGGAAAGAAGTCACGCTCGTAGCCGGCGTCGTAGAGACAGCTGTGCGCCGCGGCTTTGGCGGCGAGTAGACTGGTGTAAGTTCCAGGGATACGGAGGATTTCGACGAGATTATTGGGGTTCTTGTTGAGGCGAGTGATGGTTAAGAGGACATGATAGAGGTGTTCGGGAATTTTGGGAGGCATTGTGGGATCTTTGGCTGTTGAAAGGTGCAGTATTGAGAAATCAATCAAATAGTTATAGTTGGTTTGAGATGTAGGGACCACAGAGGGTCGAAGATCATTCCTGGGCCTGTCATGCTTTTAGATTATTTGGAGAGGCCTAGACGTGGCTATAGAAAGTCTAATTAGCGTGATGCGTATAGCTGCTGATATCGGAGATCTTCCTCCATCTGCCTGAGACGAGGATCTTACCATGTGGCCTGACTGTTCTGCATACTGTAAATGCCCAACAACAGGCTCCTACTGCATTGACAGCTGGAAATGAGCGCGTCACTATGACCACCCAGGCTTACTGCCATGATTAGTGGGATCAGACACCAAAAGTTTATTTGTGATGCTCCCCTGGAAGCACAAGGCAGAAGGTACCCGGCTGGCTTTATTTCATGGTCGGCCCATGCTCCACCCCCCCAGAAAACCCTACCCCCCCGCATTTCCTCCTTCCTCTTTCTTCTAACATCCTCGTGAGATTTCTCTGATTTCGGCATTCTTTCGGCCGCAAGACCATGTCCCCCAGGCCTGTTATATTGATGGACCTCCCTATGGAACGATATATTCCTCGCTCTCATCCCCTTGAAGACACCCTAAGTAATTCGTACTATACAGGGTAGAAATCCCAGAAGAGGAGCAATCAAGAAAAATGGCAGAGTCAGGCGCAGAACAGACTCCATACCCAGAACCTGGAGAACCACCAGTTCCCGACAAAGCGCTTCAACTCCAAATCCTTCTTATCCTGTGTCTGAGCGTGTACATAATCACTGCGATCTGGTATAATTCCAGCTTCTACCTCGCTCCTCCTATCTGATAGAAGCTGTACTAAAATTGGATAACATGGTGCTATAGTCTTCTTCTGAAATCCTACTGTATTGCCTATGGCACTCTCGACTTCACCTCTACGCCTGCCACAACCCCGGACCATACAGCCGCTTGGAACTCACTCCAGCGCCTGAAATCCCTTAACCGCGTCGCGCCCCTCAAGCGCTATGATTCGTGGTATAACTCAACTGTCTGTCATGAGCGGAGTCCCTTATTAAGTAGGGATTGGGAAAGTAGCATCTGGTTGGTCCATTCTTCACATTCAGTTCCTGACGATTGCTATGATTGAACGTGACCCTATCCAAGCAGACACTAACAGATATTATGTCGGCAAATATAGTGCAATATGCCTCGAAACCGTGAACAAAGCAGATGTGATACATGCATTGCCCTGTAAGCATGTCTTTCATCGACAGTGCCTTGAGACCTGGTTTCTTGAGTATCACAATGCGTGTCCCGTTTGCTGGCGGGTGTTCTTCGCTTGAACTTTACCAAGGACTGGCTGTCATTATGGAATTTGCTTGGAGGACTATCCACAAGGGTGGTTGAGCTGTATCGTGTCATATTATCGGGCATGTACATAGGCATCATGGTGTATTTACATTCGATTACAGTAGTTACAGTGGGTCAAACACTGTATGAAACCAGTCGCAGCATGGAATAAATTTATCATCCAAAGTTGTCTCAGAATCAAATTAGTCGAGTCCAGGTATACCCGAAGGCTTGAATGCCGGCTGACTCTGTTGCAGAGCCGGTAGTAGGAAGCCTCACGCAAGCGATAATATGTAAGCAATGTAAGCCTTATTTGGAAGACAACGTGACTTTGGCTCTCAATCCTCACTTCTCCCGCTTTCTCCTCTCTACCCCTTCGAGATTTACATCTCACACAACGCGCTTTTTGCTCTCAACAGTGTCATTGAATCTGTAATTGGTGACTATTTCAATATCCAGAAACATACAATGAGTTGATGGAAGACGCGGTGCTCGCGTTCTGCGCGGTCAGCAACTGATATCTGCAATTTTCGAGGGTTGTAAGTCCGCATGAGTGGTAGGTTTGGGGTTTGTATGGTAGTATGATTCCTAACTCTTCATAATGCCCGAATAACCGCTTATTAAAGCCAACCTGAATAGGACCCAACTCGTTTCGTTCCTAGGAGGACATTTAGTGCGGAGGGAATAACACCCATGTTGACCTGCCTGACGGACGGCTGCGTAATTTCGATGCTGGGAGGATTACCTTCTAAGAATGCTCGACATAGATTGCTTCTGTAAAATGACGGGAGGAGCGTTAGAGCGAAGCCATTATCCGGTGTGCAATTTGTGAAGAGAGTAATAAACGGGTCAATATAGTTCCCCTGAGCTGCAGGGAAATCAAGGGGCGCCGTTTGCCTCCAATGTACCAGCCTCAGACATGACCTTTTTGCGCCAGGATTACCGTGTATTCTGGCTGAGGATTGCATACAATCCAAGGTATGTCAGTACTTGCGCTCGATAGCATCACTGAGATACTGAGAATACCATGTTAATGTTGCTGCAGGTGGAAAATCCTGCTCAAGCTGTATCGAAAGACAAAAGCTTGAATGTGACCTTCTTACAACGAACCGCCCCCTATTCACTGCGTGGCCAGTGTATTCCGCCGGATTTGCTCACCGTTGGCCAATGGCTTCCTCCTTTCCTGTCCTCTCTTTCCTCTTCTTGACTGGCCCCACTCCAGGTTGCTTATTGCCGGCAAGCTTTCAACCCTGATTAGCGAGCTCTGCACACTATTCCCGATCTAGCTGTCGAAGGAACGGATGGATGTTGCACTAGTTTCATGTCGAATCTCCGATATTAATACTAACTACAGACTAGCCGATCACGCTCCGGATCTGGCACAGAGTGATTCTATGAATCATTCATTCATTGGTGGAATTTGCAAGGCACCATAAATGCCGCAGGCCCTGCATATCGAGCTACAGCCTTACTGGGATTAGTATAGCTGCCATCTCGTACTCGTACAATGCAGAACCGGCTTGGATCCTAAGGCCTACGATGACACCCGTTTCCTCCAAGACTGATGGCTGTTTGTGAAGGCGAATTATAGTACTGCTCGTCCATGTCTCGAGTCAGCGGTATATATGAACCTGTCTTTGACTGGCCACCTTAGACAATAATGTTACGCTCAAGAGGGCATTTTGTGTTCTTCTTATCGACATGCGAACCTGTTCGGTCACCCGCGGACCCCGTCGGCTGATCAGCCACCACGGCTCATATATATTAGTTGCCCACCATGTCGAACTTAAGTTTATTAAAAAAAAGGCAACATTTGAGACAACATCTTAATGTGAAACATGAACCCTGGACCAGCATCTCTCCAGAGGCTGTCGGTAGTTATGACTTTCCGATCAGAAGAGATGCGCTGAAATTGTGACTATAAGAACCTCATGCCTGCTGATGCTGAGGTGAGTTTGCTCATCATCCTACACTCATTTGACATCAGACCGATTACACTCTTTTTGTCCTTTCTTTCTATCGCTATCATTGACCATGCACTCCTTTGCTTCTCTTCTGGCCTACGGCCTAGCCGCCGGCGCCACCCTCGCTTCTGCCTCCCCCATCGAAGCCCGGGGAAGCTGCACCTTCAAGACGGCTGCTGCTGCCAAAGCGGGCAAGGCAGGGTGCTCTACCATCACTCTTGACAACATCGAAGTCCCCGCTGGAACCACCCTCGACCTGACCGGTCTCACCAGCGGTACGAAGGTCATCTTCGAGGGCACCACGACCTTCGATTATGAAGAATGGGCAGGCCCCTTGATCTCCATGAGTGGCAAAGATATCACCGTCACTGGTGCCTCAGGTCATCTCATCAACTGCGACGGTGCGCGGTGGTGGGACGGCAAGGGGACTAGCGGAAAGAAGAAGCCCAAGTTCTTCTACGCTCATGGCCTTGACTCTTCGTCCATTACTGGATTGAATATCAAGAACACTCCCCTTATGGCGTTCAGTGTTCAGGCGGATGACATCACTCTGACTGACATTACCATCAACAACGCGGACGGTGATAGCCTGGGTGGACACAACACTGATGCGTTTGATGTTGGTAACTCCGTCGGTGTGAATATCATCAAACCGTGGGTCCATAACCAGGATGACTGTCTTGCGATCAACTCTGGCGAGGTAAGCAGCTTTGCACATATATTCGAATTGCATGTATGTTGATATTCTATAGAACATCTGGTTCACCGGCGGCACCTGCATTGGCGGCCACGGTCTCTCCATCGGTTCTGTCGGCGGCCGCTCCAACAACGTTGTCAAGAACGTCACTATCGAGCACTCCACCGTGAGCAATTCCGAGAACGCCGTCCGAATTAAGACCGTCTCTGGTGCCACTGGTTCCGTGTCTGAGATCACGTACTCCAACATTGTCATGTCCGGCATCTCCGATTACGGCGTCGTTATCCAGCAGGATTACGAGGATGGCAAGCCTACGGGCAAGCCCACGAACGGTGTCACTATTACAGATGTCAAGTTGGAGAGCGTGACTGGTACTGTGGATAGTAAGGCTACTGATATCTATCTCCTTTGCGGATCTGGTAGCTGCTCAGACTGGACTTGGGACGATGTGAAGGTTACTGGGGGAAAGAAGTCTACTGCTTGCAAGAACTACCCTTCGGTGGCTTCTTGCTAGGTTAGTGGATTGGTTGGTTGTAGCACTTGCTAACATTTATTTGCTTTGAGGGGTCAAATAGGTTTTGGAATAAATGTTGAGGAGAAGAGACAATGTCTAGTAGGATTCAGTGGTGGAAGCGTGTATAGCTATGTACAATGTTATTTATCGCATTATTTTACAGATCAAATACTCGGTTAAGAGAACTTGCTTCCAGCCACAACTAACCAAGTCCCTCAATAGGTATCAGACTCCGGGAAACCCTACCTAGCCTCACTCCCTTGCAGATAGTTCTATTGGTAAACTAGGATGGTATGATGAGTTACGATGCAAGCAAATTCACCGCTACTCCAACCCGCGCATAAAGCATACGCCAAAAGTGCAAGGGATAAAGACAACCAGCTCTCTATCGTTACGCAAGTAACTCTGCATATCCAGTTTCTGACATAGTATAGTCATCTCTTCTACACCTTGGCAAACTCCCTCTCCATAAACTCCCTCACAGTAATAAGCGTCTCCCTCCCCTTCTCCCCCTTGGCCTTAAACGCCGCCTTCTTCAACGCCGCAGCAGTTTGAATCTCCGTAGGCCCATTACCGAAGTACTCCCCATCCCTAAACTGCGAATAAATAAAAACATCCCGCTCCTGCTCACGCCAATATTCCCCCTTCGTATTCATGTCATTCGGGTCCGCCAGAACCTCATACCGGGCTTTCTTGCCCGTCACTATACCCATCACCGTCAGCATCCACCCCAACCACTCATCACAGAACAGATCAAGATTTGAACTCACCAGAAACAAACGTATTCACCACCTCCGCCGATGAAACAATATCACTCGACCCCTGAATCAGCCGTCTATTCCACCGCAACGGGTTAACAAAAACCCCATGAACCAGATCCCCAAAGTCATCTTTCATACTGATCCAGGGGAAATCTTCTTTCCCGCCCCAGAAGGGCGTCTTGTATGTTAGATAGCCCGCAGAGTCAGGGAATGTGGGCCATCCGCCGAATAAGTTGGCGTAGTCTGGCTCGAGCCAGTTCTCCATGAACCACGCGGCGACGATGGGGGTTACGGTTTTGAAGCCCTTGGTGGTGTAGGCTTGTCGCTCGACTTGGATTTTTACTGTGTTCTCTGTCGTTAGTCTAGTCAATGGAGATATAAATTGGTTTGTGGATGGATGTCTGTTTGCGTTTGTGATACTCACAATCAAGACCAGGACATTTCACTGCCCCATTCGTCATTTCTGATATCGCAAGACCAGAGCTATACACTAGATGCTGCACGCCGGATAAAGCGGCGCATTCGATGATGTTGCTGCCTAGGTCGGCGTCGTTGAGGCCTTTGGCTTCTAGTTCCTAATATATGCCTTAGCTAGTATCATTGCTCCAGTCATATAAGTAAAAGTAGGACAAACCGGATCCTCCGAATTCGTATTCACAAACGCCCCCCAACTACCCGAAAACGCCTGCTGGAGTTCCTGTCGGTTGAACCCATCGGCTTTGACTAGCTCTGCGCCCAGGGAAGCCAGTTCATTGGCTTTGCTCGACGATGGGTTCCTGGTTATGGCGCGGACGTGAAAAGTAGGGTTTTGCACGAGCGAGCGCACGACGGAGCTGCCTTGGCGGCCTGGGTGGGTAAGTATTTAGTTTTGGGTATAGGGGAGAGAGAGGGTAAGGGGGCTTAAATACCGGTTGCACCGAAGACGGTGATGGTTTTGGTCTCGATTGTCATGGTTGAGTGGGTTGGGTTGTTGGGTTCTACGATGGGAGAATATGTGGGAACTGGGGATAGTTACTACTATATGAGATGTATATGTCTGTCTCAGTAATTTACTAGATGGGTGGTGACGTTGCAGATGTCCATTGAGCCTGGACTTTCACCGCTCCTGCTTGGTGCATACTTCTAGATTGTTGGATTGTCTCATATACAGTCTAGCCATGGGGTCTATGTAAATGCGGATAAAGCATGGAAATCTATCATTATATGACAATGTGCCTGTTAAGCGAGGGGGACTGACAAGCCTGCTCGACTTACCTACCAGGTACAGTAGTCTGGATAGTCAGACGCGCAAAACCGGGTATAGTTTCTTGCGTGGCAAGCAATCCAAACCTAACCTCCTTGCATGAGAGTGGAGCGTAGATCATTGGATGTATCGTGTGGCTATGTCTGCAGAGTGCCGCCAACTAACAAATTGTCCTTAGGGCGAGATCGCGCTGTCTGTGCATCCAGCTGGATTGCGTACTAGAAAAATTTTTGATGGTAGTGTATTCCCAATAATGTACATTAATTGCTCTATGATCGATAATTCGCTCCGTCTATATACAAAAATATAAATAACAAGTCTTTATAAATAGACCACGCATTGAATCGCTCAATATATATCTCAAAAATAATAATGTAACAAGTACAAGTGTTTCGCAATGGACAGTCGGTATCCAAGTATGGGTAAAAAAAGGAGAAAAGAGAACAAATCGACGTGCTTCACCCATCGTAAAACATTCCGCACAACACCACGAGCAGATAGCAGGGTTAGGCTATTGTCCAACTGCTTGGTACCCACGACGAGCCGTCCAGTCGCTTTGTCTCCATTGCTTTTTGTACGTTTCCATCTCGGTCGGGTCCGCGGCAGTACCCTGACCTTCACCAAGAGCGCGCTCGAGACGACCTTGGCGGCGCTGGCGCAGGAAGTAAAGGACAAAGCCGGCGATACAGAGAGCGGCGAAGGCAGCGGCACCGCAGTAGACGCCAATGTGGGCTGCTGTGCCCAGTTTGTCCCATTTCTGGGCAAGCGTCTCGGCGGGTTTCTTCGAGATTTCTTTGGCGGCAGTGGAGTTTCCACTATAGACAAGGGCAGTTAGATGAATAATCCTTTACCTCGGCGACGGGCACCAACGAATAAGGACTTACCTAACAATCTCAATACTCTCGTAAGAGCCATTGTGACCGATGTATTTGTACTCCTTGCCCGAGGAGAAATCCTGGACACGGATTTTCTGCACCGTCATAGTAAAGGGGACGTCGGTCCAGTTGACCAAACCACCACCCCATTCGATGTTTCCTATCGATTGCGACGCAATACCCACAGGCCAGTTGCTGACCTTGACTCTGCACGGCGTTTGGGGGTAGTTCTTGCCATATACGGTGAGAGGTTCAGAGTAGTTGACCGTGCGCCTCAGTTCGCCATCAATCCACCACTCCAGACGATCCTTGTCCCAGTAAGTAGTGTAGTTGTGGAACTCGGTATCTGCGTTCGATACAGCATGGTAGCCACCGCGATCACTTGTCGTTGTATTTCCCTTTCCGAAGAAGTCTGATTGCACCTCGCTGGTGTTGTATCCCACCCACTCCCAATCGATCTCGTCCAAGTCATCGGATTGCAGGATCACGCTGCTGATGATACCTGCACCCTTGGCCATCTTGACATGCGCCTCCATTACACCGAAAAAGATGTAAAAGTTCGACACCAACAAGGTGGAGGCGTTTTCCGTCTTGATGCTGAATTCTGCTCCTTCCGACGTGTACTCTATCTCTCCTGTCTGCATATCCCAAAGCTTGTCATCTAGCGTCTGGTTGAACCACCATGTGTGCTCTGTGGACAGCGCCGCGTCGGCGGGGCATGTGCTGTTGATGGGGTTGCAATCGGTTTCATCGGCGGCCACCAGGCCGGCTAGCGCCCCAAGGAGCCAGGCATGGCGAAGATAGAACATGGCGGCAGGTTTGTGAGGGCGTGGTAATCGAATTGGTGGTCAGAGTCTGGGGTGACCCGACTCAGGTGCTGGTGGGTTTGGGTGCGGGATGGGTATGGGCGGGTTCGTGGCTGTCCTGGGGGAGGGATGACAGGAATGGTTTCAGGTTCATGGCTCGTGGCGGGCAGGAAGGAGAAGGAGCCCATTGACGGAGTTATAGCGCTGGAGATAAAAAAAAAGTGCCTCTTTGGCTTCTAGCGAGCAAGCTATCGATAGCACAGAAGCAAAGATGGTGGCAGCCAATCAAGGAGCGAGTCGGCACTTAGTCTCCGAGGCATCGGCGGGGGCTAATCCCACTATAGGCAGCTTTCAGGGGCAAGGGCCCAAACCCAACTTTTAAAAATAGGGGCAATCTGCCATTGGTCCCTGAAAAAGGGACACCAGACGGTGTCTCTCGTCGAGCCTGGTTATTGGTAGCCACGATAGACTCCACCTGGGTCTTTTTTTTCACCCATGAAAACTGGTTTTGCTCGTGTCGTGGAGGAGGAAGAATTTTCCTCTCGCCTCTGCTCAGGAGACAGCTGAGCGGTTGGTCCGAGCCATCCGACAGTAATGCTGTTGCAAGCGAGTTGGGGATCTGCTGATATGCAGTCGAACGATCCAATTAAAGCAGCACAACTCCATCGCAGCAATATTACAGGAGTTCGCAATTAAACTTGGGGGTCCCTGGGGGCGAGTTGACTCGGAGAGAGCACTAATGACAACTGGCTGTTGAGGGTTATTCGGGTCAGCAACTTCTTCCCCGGGGATGGTTGCCGATTCGAGTTATCAGGATCCACACAACCAGCCCCTATTGGACTAGCAAGCAAAACAATTGCCGGTGCCATTCCTAGACAGGAAGTTGAATTTCCCAATTAGTCAGAGCTTGGCAGGCTAGTGCGTAAAGCTTGACCGGGATAGGGTTAGTCGATCTGCCACTTTCCGGGAAGCTGCTTTGATAGGGTCGGATCTAATTTGGTTGATTGCAATTGTTGGCTCTCCAGGGGCTGAATGGAAATTTGGGAGCCTGATCCAAAGGCTTGTCTCTCAATTTAGAGCGCTGTCAACCTACAGTTCTTGCACAAGCATGTGCCAGAAGGCTTGGCCCTTCTGGAACGTCGAGTTGGTGAAACATCCGCTCTTGGAGGCAGATTGCATTATCGCCGTAATAAGTTCTTCTTGTTCATATTGAGAGAGCGTTCTGATCGGTCTCTATAGATATGTTCGAAGCAGCTGTTAAGTACCTGTAAATCCATAAGGTTCCACTAACCATTGTAGTACCCCACAAATACGAAAACGATGTCTTGGAATGAATAGATAGCGAGATAGGCATATATTCGGAAAACCACTCCATTTGATCTCTTTATGATTTCATTCAATGCAAGGCCATCGTCCACCATTATACTAGTAAGCACCGGGAGTATTAAATAACCTGCCGGCTTTCACGTTCACACCCAGTTTGGCATGAATATCGCAGTAGTAATCATGGCATTCTGAACCTGTGATGGCTAGAAGGAAAGGTACAGTACCCTCGTAGCATTCAACAATTACTAAAATTGACCATACCTTCCAGAACCAGACCAGACGCACAGATTGGTACAACGAAAGCTTTGGGGTACATTGTAACCTCACTCAGATACCCTACTAAATTTACCCAGAGATATCCGGCTTATCTCCTGTCCAACCTTCATATCTTCTGTATCCTTCCAATTAACCCTGACCTGGGGCCCAAAAATCCCCCAAAATGGAACATCCCAAGCTCCTGGCCCTTCTCTACATAATCCCCAGGTAGCACCGTCGTCTCGCACGAGCCACGTTCCAGTATACCCGCAAATAAGCAGCACACGAGCACTTTATCTTCAGTTTCGATGAATATCAGGTGTCTAGTAGCCGTATGCACGGCATAGCCCTGGGACTCGGAAACCCAGTCATCCAGACTCGTATTATCCCGTTGAGCAGGGCAGAATATCCCAGGTATCTCCAGAGTTCTGACGACAACTCCCGAGACGGGCGCATGCCACCGATGGTAGCCAGTAGGCTCAAGGTATACCTGGAGAACCGTACCGCCGACAAATTGCCCCGCGATCGGGTCCTCATCAAGCATATCTTCGAGTGAGTAGAGCTGATCCTTGAGCCAGTATTCATCTTTAGCTTTTATATTGGTTGCGAATTTGTAGGTGACCCCATCGACAGCAGCAGAAACGACACCGGGGTTGTCTGGCTCCGCAATTGGTCGGGCACCCTTACGGAGCTCTCTGTTGAAGAATTCCTCCCAGGAATTGAACCCCCAGTGGGGCTTGCTTGGGTCGCATACGAATGTTTTCTCGAAATCGCGCATATTGGCGAGGGCATCGGGGCTGAACCAGCCATTAGACTCGCTGGTTAGGACGGCTGCTGATTCTGGGCTGCGGAGAAATTTGCCCCAGTCCTTGAGGATGTCATGGAAGGCATTGTTGACCTTTGCGTTGAGGAAGAATTCGTATCCGGATGGCGTGCGAATGTATGGCTCGATGAACCTGGTCAAGGGGCTGCTGGCCCAGCGTTGGGTAGAAAATACGGGCGCACTTCGAACGAGGCTGTTCAACTGGATGATGAAGGTAGCGAGGTTGCTAGGGATGGTTGGATCTCCCGGGCGGGTTTGCGTGAACATTTCTGTGGTGAGCTTGTAGAGCTTGGGGTCGCTCTCGATCAAGGACTTGAAGGCCTTGATGCTTGTGTTGAGGTTGGTGGATGTAGTCTGCGATATAACATTCTTGGTGAAGTCCATGATGAAACAAGTGGAGGTTGGGGCCCTGTGTGATGGTTTAAGGATTGGAATAGGATAGTAAAATTCCATGCAAGAGTTAATCAATTAGATTAGGGTACTGACGGGGTTTTTATGCCAATTCTTCTGTCATGTGGAACACATGGCGTCCTGCTAGTACTCTCTTTTCACCCCTCCCTTCACCCATGGATGGGCACAGCTTGAGGTAATACGATTGTTGCGTCGGAGCTTGAGCTCGAGCCGTATAGTAAGCAGCACCTTTAA